AGGTATAGTAGATCTTCCAACTACACAGTTCACCATCACATTAAGTGATCCAGGTATAGCAGATCCACCAACTACACTGTCCACTATCTCATTAAGTGACCCAGGTATAGTAGATCTTCCAACTACACAGTACACTATCACTTTAAGTGGATTCAGGTATAGTAGATCTAACAACTACACAGTTCACTATCACATTAAGTGATTCAGGTTAAGTAGATCTACCAACTACACAGTTCACTTTCACTTTAAGCGATCTAGGTATAGTAGATCTACCAACTACACAGTTCACTATCACTTTAAGTGATCCAGGCATAGTTGATCTACCAACTACACAGTTCACTATTCCATTACGTGACCCAGGTATAGTAGATCCACCAACTACACTGTCCACTATCTCATTAAGTGACCCTGGTATAGTAGAGCTACCATCTACACAGTTCGTAATCACATTAAGTGATCCAGGTATGGTAGATCTACCAACTACACTGTCCACTATCTCATTACGTGACTCGGGTATAGTAGAGCTAGCAACTACACAGTTCACTTACTGCACGGAATTCCAATTGTAATGAATATATGCCTTCTCATTAAAAAAAACATGGATTTCGAACTGAGGTTTACATGTAAACGATATTTTCACATTATACGCTCACTATCTGTATATTAACGCGTATTTTACCATTTGTAGGGCTCGTGAAAACATGAAAAAACGTCACAGTCGTAAATCACAGTCGTACCAGGCACTGATTATCGCTTTAAGTTATGCTAGATTTAGGTAACATTCTACAATAGTCTACACACTTTGTTTTCACATTTACATAAGTTTTAGCTAGAAATATAAACAACAGCCCCATTTCAGGGAAATGATTTCTCTTTTTGCTATCAGATACCCCTAGACATAGTGGCGCATGTGTATTTTACTAACTTTTGCTGCTAAAAGTTTAAACTGATCCAGTCATCGAGTTGTTTGCGTGTCTAAAAACCTGCATTCGTCCAAGTTGTTTAAACGCCACGATGCAGAGGCAAGGAGTCGAAAAACCAGTCGAAGTGTGAACAAAACTTTGTAATTTGCTGAGATTGGACATCGGAGTGGTGTTTCAAAGCAAACAGCTTATAATATCGTCAAACGTTTTGTTACCACCGAGAGTACCGGAGCAGGAATAAGCAACCAATCTACGACTAAAATACTGACTACGTGATTGACCATGTTGAAGATTATAAAATGTTAAGACCGACTGGGAAATTAGAAAACTACTTGCAGACGATTTATGTACAACCCTCTCGAGACGTCCATTGATCAATTATGCGGTTCGGATGTACCTAAACATGGCCAGAGAGAAAATGTCAAGCGTGCTAGCAGAACAGTGCGCTGGTGAGAATATCGAGAAACTTTCTAGAGGCGTGTCGAATAATGAACCGCGTCGTCTGCATTGATTTGAGGAAACATCTAAGATAAAATCGACGGGAATCGTACGGTTGGGTATTGCGCGATCGAAGTCCAACGTTACGCCTCGAATGCAACTTTCAATGTCAATGTATTAGTATTATTAGTGATTAGTATCGACCACGTTGATGTAATTGAATAGCTGTAAAATGGATATCAAGTCTTACTTTTCTCTTGAAATTAAAAAAATGAAAACCCATGTTTAGCACCAATTAATATCAATGTTACCACCCTCGACATATCGAGCAAAAACTGTAAGATTTATTGAAGTAATAAGACGTTAGATTATCATTTCAACCACCTTAAAACCCCCAGTTTAATGTACGCGAACTATGATTCAGACATTTGAAGTCGAAGCTGAGAGGAAACCCGAATAATTGGTTACATGTGAGGTACAACAATTGTATTATCTATTCTGATCCACTATAAATTAATCCTATATTTTACTACCGTGTGTTTAATTAAATTCGACAGAGGTGGATTATCTACAGATCTCTGAAAATGTAGTGCTTTGTTTTCTTTTCTGAACTGCATTTTTTTATGAAAAAGTTCACCTTACATATTGTATGATGAAGACGTAAACGATTCATACAAAATTATCAAATGTTTCAGCGTTAAATATTTCAAACATAAACATATATAAATCGTGGTTGTTTTTGTACAAAATATTATTATTGACAACATCGCCGGGAATAAACTCACTACTACTGAAACATTACTTCAGGACAAAACAAATTCATATAACAAATACCAAAGAAAGTAAAAATAGTTTCAGAAACAAACAAACTAACAGACAGTTCAATCATAATCCATTCAAAGAGAGTATTAGTGTCTCTATTATTTTCACACGAACTTGCTTTTATGTATGATGTAATATGGTCGTCGCTGGATAGAAGATGTAACCTCGTTTTTTTAACGTGAATTGAATTGAACTAAAATGAGAGGATGGAACGTCAGCTGCAGGGTTGTCTACTCCCTGACAGACTGGCTGTAGACCACTACAGACTGGTGTGGTTCATAGTGATGTATTATGATAATCAATTCTGCCATGATCAGTCAGTCATCCCTTTGTGACCGTTACTGAAATACCATGTGCCGCAAATTGAAGCAGTCACCTAATGTAAGAACCTAAAACTAACCTACCGCTGCGTCAAGGGCGTTTCAAATAGCGGACATTCTGTCCGCGTTGTTTGTATCGATTTCCGTAAATGTAAAAACAAAGTGTGTATAAACCTATTGTCACAAGTTATCAACATCTAGCACTACTTTAGCATCAAATCAGTAACTGAGACGGCTGTAACACCAAACCACAATCACTATTTCCAGGAGTGTATTGTGTCTTGTTGAATATTGATGACGTGGCCGGTAACCAGAATACAGCCAGACGGTTTCTGATGTTTGATGACGTCACTATAGTTACAGTTGATACAACACACCAGTATCCAATGTGGGTTGAATCGGCAGCAGAGATTACAAACTATCTGTGGCAAACAAATCTTCAAGATTCGTACCACTTATATCCTCAGGTAATACATTACACTGGGTAATTTGAATTGGCAAAACACAAACTGAATGAAGAACTCTGCATAAAAGACAATCTTAATATTAGCCAATCCACTCAACCCTGATCTTTGGCACATTATATGTTGATTTTATCTACTAAGATTTTATTCACGTCAAAAAAAATTGATTATATTATGCATTTAAATGAAGGTAATTTACACGCAATTGTCCCTGTTTTGTGGTTAAGGTTTATTTTTTAATTTTAAAACTTAACATTCTGACGTCACGGCGGTCCTGAAGACGTAACACACTCTTCTAGTATCCGCAATTAAGTACGGCATCCACACCATTGGCGCTCAAAATCAATGATCCAAGCATGTGATTATCTACTCTGTATTAGTTTTATCAAAACCTGTTACAGAGAAATCACACTATAGTTAATATGTTGCGATACTAGTATGTGTGTTCAAACGAGAGGTGTCGTAATCACAAAATCACACACGGAGAACACAATCGTACACCAAGGATGCCGAGTCGTATTTGAAATAACAATAGTTATATTTTAAAATGAAAAGACCTAAATTCATGTTAATATACAATGTATTTGCCTCCTATTAGCAGAGCAGTCAATTCCCTATGGAGTTTTTAACAAAACGGTCACGCGTATTAATTTACTTACAGATTGTGTTGCGATGGACAGGACATTTCTATAACTATATTCACAGACAACACAAATTGTTGAATGCCATCGAAGATAATTCACCTCCCCTTACGTCACAATACGAAGAGGCCACGGGTCAACCTCCAGCAACCAGGTCACGTGAGGCAATACCAAACATCAACGCCATCGTGAGATTTGAAGTAGCCTACAGTATAGACCACCAGGGAGGGCGCACTATCACCTCTCCTCCTCGGAACTGGCGAGACGTTAACAATATTATGGTGAGCGGGTCGCTTTAGTGCTTATTGCATGTTTGCCTTTTAGTCGTTTTTTGCTGAAGGACAATTTAAGTGAGTGTGTGATTGATGTCTGGTTGTGCGTGGTATTTGTCTTCAACAGAAGAGAGTACACATCAAGTAGAAATATATTTTTTAAATAAAAATATTTAGCCTTTGGTTTGGCTGTCACGTGCTGAATCAATATTGTATCTAGCCTAAGCTACTGCTTTTTACTGCTCTTCACATTATTTGTCTTCGATGTCTATTCAAAGAAATGAAGATGTCGCTTATCAATGATTTTTATTAATGATAATGTCTACTTGGAAAACATCAGTATTAATTGTCAGTGCATCTTCGGAACATTCCATTTTGTAAATAGGCGGATTGGAGGCAGCTAAACTAAAGACAAACTATTTATATTTTTTAATGTTTTCCTATTTCGTGCGACACTACAGGTAGAGCAGCAGGGACTCAGCGTGCCACGCAATGATGGCGATTCCATTCATTTATGGGTGAGAGCTACAGATGTGATGGGCAATACTAACCAGGATGATGTCCTAATACATGTGGATTCGTCGCCACCAGAAATACATGACATGTCCTTGATCGTGGATTGGCGGACATGGTAATTGATTTATTCTCTTCATCGATTAAAAATTTAGGAACATAACGTCCCAGCTTAACAGTGACTCTATGTGCGTAGTTATGCAGTTATACATTGAACGATTTGTATTTGTAAGTAATTGAGTTGTTCATACCTTCCCAAGTCTTCAAATACGCATACTATTCTATCAACATATTTTTTATATTTTATATCTCCTCCTAGGGTTGTTTTTAAAACCTACGACGATCACAGTGGGTTGCATCAAATACAATGGAATGTAGCTGACGTGGATGGCGTTAACCTTTCACCTAGTGGAGGAAACGTTGCTGTTAGGAGGCCTTCGGTACGTTCGTAACATTAGCATATCATTAATATTGGTTTGTCAGTCAATATATGTGAGTTCATACACCATCCAGGCATGCAAATATGTGGTAAACGGCCCGGGTCATGTCACCCTGACGTTATAGTGTATACGTAGTGAATACATGACGTAATCAAGTACAGTAGGGCAAAGTTCATGTAACTTAGTCGGCCGTGACTTACCCATAAACTTAGTACCAAACATCCCTTTTTTCAGATCGGAGTCTCTTTGTGTGAGCTTCCAAATTGTGCTTGCATACCAAAAGACGGTGAGTGTTATTATAGAGATTACGCCGTAGAACTAGATGCAAACTTGCTTGGAATTCCAACTGAAGACCAAGAAAAAAACAACGTATATTATTATTTATTTACGATCACAACAACAAACAACGCCATGCTCACGTCTACAAGGTCATTCCAGGTATAGTAATATACTTTACTTTCACTATGTCTACATCACCGAACAAGATCATGATTTGTTTTAGAAACGTTCGTGTCTGTTATTTCAAAACCAACGTATTTCAAAAAAAAGTTCTTAATTTAATTAATTTAATTTTAGTAACACAATCACATTGCTGAAGTTCATATCAATATTTAATCGTATTAGACATGTTATTCCCTTTCAGATTACGTTTAATACAAGTTCACTTTCTACACATCCGGTGATTTCAACTACCTTAGGTGAGAATATCTCACGAACGTATCATATACTTCTTGTATTATTTGCTTTCACTCTAAAACATCACTCTATCTATTATCCCGTGTATTCAACCAACAAATGATTATACTGTATTCGGCTTGATGCCATGACAACGACGTCGACGTGGATGATTGATATAAGATACAGCTTTACAATTTGCATAATCATAAGTGACGTAATCATATATCACAACTGCTGTTTCTCGTAATTGAAATGTATACGATGTGAA